TATCAGTGAATTAGTTAAATTTTTTCGTCACAAGTATATCAAACAACAACTGATGAAACTCTGTAAGTTAAGTCATGTGAATATCGTTGTCTCATTAATGTACAAGGATGATTTAAATATATCACAACAACTAGATATAAATACAATGTGCAAATAAATAGATACTAATGTGTCATACTTAGAGACCACTGACAATAGAAAATGTCAATCACTAAAGAAACAAACATTCAAACAAAACAAGTTTCAAGTTACCTATTTCCGAATTAACTGTAAATACAATTATTCAATCACAAACTCACCCCAGAAAGATCGCGTGACTAACTGTTATCTTCCTAATATGTATATATAAACCAGAAATATACTGAACGATAAACTTTAGACAATTAATCATAATCACAGAATAACTTACTAAAATCAATGTAAATGACCCGTGTATCTAATCTGTAACAATAAACAATCATATTTAAATATGAATTTCAGTTACACATTTATAATAAATTATTCCTGCTTCAGTTTAAAAACTGTCATTCATAACAATAAACTCTGATCTTAAAACGCTATGAAGAATACAGTTTAATGAACAGAAGTGAAAAAGCTAATGAAAACCTTTCGAAAGATCTTAAATATCTGTGACTTTTCTATCTATCATGTAAAAATATAAAATCTGTTTTCACTTCTTTGTAAAGGTGTAAATCAAACAGTGGAGTCCAGGACGTGCATTTTCTCTTATTTGGTATTAGTTATTTGAATATACCTCTTTCTTGAACTTTATCTCCACCATGGGACTCGAACTCATTACCGTTCATTTCAAAAACCATCGTGTTATCCACTTAGCTACTAAGTCCTGATAGCCGTTGATCGATTGCAGTCCTAAACATTAATGGAAAGATTGAAGTAAACAACATCAAGTGAATTTAAACCTCACTCTATCACATAAACAAATGGCTATCAAGACTCAGTAGCTAAGTGGATAACGCGAAGGCGTTTGAAGCAAATGATAATGAGTTCAAGTCCCAGGGTGAACTTCAACTCTGAGATACAGGTACATCCATCTGACGAGTCGTAGATAGGACGAAATACGCTTTCTGGATTCCACTACTAGACATCATCCATCTTCGCCCATACATTTGTTTTACCTAGTTTAACAGAATAAAATGTCTTTGGAATCATTATAAAATATCTATAACAAATATCTATTCGTGTACTTGATATTTTAAAGTCACTATTTATAAAGTTTGTAGGAATATCGTTTACTGTTTCATTCTGTACAATGATAAAATCTGTAATCACATTATCTTTATAGTCACATTTAATTTTTTAAGTAAAAAATTGCTTATAAAGTTTCTAACGAACCAGCTATACTTTAAACCATAACAATTAGTAAGACATTTGTTTCTTTCATAGGATAAAACTGTAAACCTATTTTATAGTATAAAAAGAATATTCATTCTTTTTAAATGTCAGTTTTATTATCCTGATAAGTTTGACAGTGTAACTATCACATCATCAAATGAATAAATACGTTAGTTTAAAAATTGGAAACAAAAAAGTAGCTCCTTGTTTACTTCACAGTGTGAAACATAATTCTTCGTTAGACAAATTGAAAAAAGAAAACAAAAAAAACACTAGAGAAATATCACTAACATGAATATGTTAGTATCCATACCCATACCCATACCCATAGCCATATCCATATATATAGTGTAATGTTGAAAATTCATCCGATATGACTTTGATTTGATTTGGTCATTCTGATCATTCTAATTCTATAAATGAATTCAACTTAATTGGTTAACTGTTATCTTGATTAAATAAGTTATAATCTGATATTTAATGATGATATTTCTATGATCTAATTTAAAAGTGAATAACGATCGTAATGGTATGAATCTCAGTTAGATAAATACCGAATAGTCCCTAGATGAAGTACACTGATCTAAATTTACGTAGTTACAGCAAGATGGTGAATGAGAAGGAAACAAATACAAAGTAGAAAAGGAACAATGATAAAACAAACACAAAAAATGGATCAAGAAGCAGTTACGACACTGAAGAATCAAAACTTAATAATGATTCAAAGATTTAAATTTCAAGATGCAACAAGAATTAATTATTCAGAACCACTGGAATCAACTTCAAACTGTTTCATCTATAGTCCCCAAGTATAACGAGGCCTACATCATGTTTCATAACGTGAAGTAATTGTAACGTGTCCTCTGTTAGCTATTTCCTAATTTTCTCCAGTACCAACCCGTGAAATTCGCATTAGTAGGTGTTAAATATTATTAATAAATTCCACGAGACCTGTTTGAATACCTGTTTCTGTCATCTGGATACTTCAACAAGTTATCTGTTTTCTCGTTTGTTTTAACATGTCATTATCCCCATTAATCGTATAACTTATTCACGAGCGTTTGTGAAAACTTTACAACCTTTCGCTATACAAATTACAAAAAAATATAATCACAAACATCGTGATTACTGGCAATGTGCATCGAAAAGAATATACATGTCGATTCCTGAACTGCTAACTTTCAACTGGTGACCATTCAATATTTATAGTCAGGATCGATCAAGAAATACGACGAGGAAACTTGTTGAAATACTTTATGCTGAGAATTCTATATTGTACCAGAAATATAATATTGAATAAAGCCAATACATAAAGAAACTTGTAACTGATACGTTTAGTATCAACAAGCTTATGGTTTACAAGAATACAATCAATTTTTTTCAATGGGAATTAATATAACGATTTAATAAATGAAGCAGTTTTAAATCTCACCACGTACAAAATTACTCTTCAATGATATATGATAACCAATCAATACTTGAATAGATATGAAAGCTTTTGAAGATCAAGCAATTGGCTCTTATTCCTATTGAACACCCAGTATAAATGAAAATACATCAGAAATACATTTCACCGTTGCACGAAATGTCTCATCATCGATTTATTTCAGTCAATCATGAAATGCATAAGAAAACTAATATCCTACTTAGTAAAACAAACAGAAAGGACTTCTAATTTCTATTATCAGTTTCCAAATAAGAAAAAAATGTGCTTTCTGTTAAATATTGTTTACTGCTCCTATTTTAGTTAACTTTTTAAAAGTAAATAAACAGTAGGAGTTCATAGTTTGTTCATGTCAAATATCGTCACAAATTATTATCAAAACGGGAATAAACTGCATTCCTTTTTATGTAGCTTTGAGTGGAAAGCTTACTTTCGACTGTATAGTAAGGAAATGGTTAAAAGTAATGTATCCAGAATAAAATCCGGTTCATATATATATATATATATATATATATATATATATATATATATATATATATATATATATATTTAAACAAAATAACCGACTTTATACGAATATTCATCAATATTAGGATGAATAGTTTGGCAACAAAAATTGAGCACCGAATATAGAGAAGTCACTATAGGTGAAGGTTTGTGACGCCTCACGATAAAAGCTGAGTTCCTTCGAAAGTCATGAGGCGATACCCCTGCTGACAATTAGAGCAACCATTAATTTAGGTAAATGGAATTCTCGTACAATGCTGGAGATCGAGAGACTCTTCCAATTTGCTGCAGATATAAAACGATACAACCTCATATAAAGTTACAATTAACTTATTTGTTGTTATTCTCATTGCACAAGCCTTTGATTACTTAACATTTACTAACATATCGAATAAACAAATAAGTAATTCAATGCCATTCTGTAAAAAAAATATTCGATTTTCATTTGCTTAATGTCTTATTGAATCTATATTACCGTTCAAGTGATTTAAACAATAAACTATCAAATGAGGAAGTTATGTTTTATGAAGTTATTGTTAGATATTCACTTTTACACTTAAAGTGATTCAATGAAAAAGAATATAAAAATAACAACAACAAAAATACTGCTTTGTCTAAAGTTTCATTAACAGTTATGTGAGTCTCAGTTTTAGGTTTGATTAGAATAGTCCAACTCTTAAGCCTAATGAACAGGTCTAAATAACTAATATCAGAACAGTTAAATATACTATGTAATTGATTAGTTACTGTGAGGTTAACACCAAACAAAGATTCATTTAGAATCAAGAAAAAAGAGAAGAAAATCAATTTCATATTATTAAAGTATAAACTAGTTATGAATGATTGATAATTAACGGTGGACATATTGTTCCATAAGCCAAATGATGTTACATAATATACATCAGCATTTTACACTTACTAGATTGCTATAAAAAGATTCTAAGTATTTGTTATTGTATACAAATGTTTTGAAAATTACTTTTTAATAATACCGCCATATTTCAATGTTTAAAGGGAACATGTAACAATCTGACTTAATGTATGACTTCGAACAATGACATATTTTACTTATTCACTTAAAATGTTCAAGAAAACTTCATTTAAAATTCAAAATATTTTCTAACTATTTTATTTTTATTATTTATTATTTGAAAACATAGATATTGGTACAAGAGGGCACCAGATACATATGCGCCACACAGATATTATTAGATTTATATGAGGGCTGTGATACTGCTTGGATGCCTAAACCGAAGCAGGTAGTTTTCTTAGGGGGCCACACCCGGAGTCTTTGATCTACAGGTCTGATCCACAAGACAGTGGAACATCGTAAGGAGATGCAGTCTCATGATAGCCAATGTTCAACGATTGATTCATACGCCATTTGTTCCATTAGGATACTGGAGCCCATGTGCACCATTGATTTAAAATCGGGGTTTTCCAACTCCCCTAGGTGGACTCTCCATGTCCACCGGCCCGGTTAAAACGCCAGATATTCGCTTTTCGTACTCTCAATTTCGTAAACAACACCTCCGTCACGAGAAGGCAGTGAGTAAGACTTCCCTGGCAGAGGCTATATACACGTGGCAATGTGAAAGCATTTAGAGTGAGAGAGCTGTCTCTCTCCACTATCGGCCGTACCAAGGCATTTATTTCATTTATATATGGATAGTTTATATAATAAACAATAACTTACTTAAATAAGAGAAAACATTTCCTAAATGAATGAATATGTTTATATATATATAAATGATATATATTATGTAATCAATTGATTGTTCTCTTCAATTGAGTATTTTGTACAAGTATAAACAGATTAGCATAACTGAAATAGGTTATATCCAATTGTGTGTGTGTTTCTTTTTTGTAAAAAAAATAGTGTTCCCTTATATGTTAAATAAAATGTTGAATAAATCCCTAAATTTCAATTGGTCAATTAGAACATTTCATAATACACCAATAATATTATAGGAGATAATTGGATTCCTTGAGGAAATTTACAAAATAAAAAACAAAACGGGGATTCTTTGTAATATATTATGGAATAAATCAGTATGAATTGCTTTAAAATTTAAAAAAAAAGAATGAATGTGAGCAATTGTACATTCTATTGTTTCTTCCGATGAAAGGTTGAAACAGTATTAGTTTTCTTTCACTTGGTATCGTTTATTGAATCTTCACACTGATGTAAAGGACTGCAATCGATCAGTCTCCGATTGACATATGTGCATCCTGTGTGTTTTGCCTTGATATTTCCTTAATTCAAATGAATTATAAGCAAAGATGAATAGTGGTTAGTAGTGGAATCCAGGAGGTGTGTTTCATCCTATTCGGGACTCGTCAGCTGGATGCTTTTGCATACCAGAGTAGTCACGCAGTGAACATCAACTCTGGAATGTAAGTACATTTAACTAACAAATCCCAAATTGGTTGAAATTCGCGTCCTATATTCCATTGTTAACCATCATTCATCTCTGCTTATAATGCTTGTGAATTTAAACTTCACTCCATTGCACAAGTAGCTGTGTATCAGGAATCGTTAGCTAAGTGGATAACGCGATGGTGTTTGAAGCGAACGATACTAGATTCAAGTATTGGAGTGAACATCAACTCTGGGATATAGGTACATACATCTCATGAGTCCCAAATAGGGTGAAAAGCGCGTCCTAGATTCCACTATCCATCTTTGCTATTAGTTTTCTATTATTATATATAATAATGATCCCTAAAAATAATACAGTAAATAAACATTTTACTTGTAAGCAATACATTTTTCACTTATTAAAATGTGAAATACTAATAAATGTCTAGTTGACATCTCCTATATTCGTTTGTTGGGAGAGACTATAATTTATGGACGAACCAATCAGGAATAAGATAACAAGTCTCGAATTTCGGTGTGAAATTCATTCATCCATTTGTCTAAATACAACATTGGCATTATAACTGATATCAGTTCATGATGAAAACCCTAAATCTAGTTCTTAATATTAACCATAAATTGTAAGTCATAATTCTAATTCCTCACACAGGTTTATGACCCTCATTTAGCCGTAGTATGTAGGTGGATATTCTTAAAATCTTTTTAGTGTCGCTCGAAGGCCGTCCACAAATTATAGTCTCACCGTTTGTTGCGTACCATGATGATGGACTGTGTAATTGAATTTATTACAATATACATTAAAAGTGACCATGTTAGTTGAATTCCCTTAAATATTTTAATGTTCCTAGTACACTGGTACTTAAATTTTCAAATCATTTAATTATTAACGTATATCAAGAGTTGTACTATCATAACAGAATACTTACTCGCTAGTTACAAAGATGTATACTATAAGTATGAACTACGTTCTGTGGAATCATATGAAAACATAAGAGATAATATACAATTTAATTCAAATTTGCCTCCAAAAGATCACCATAGGGTAAATAAGTTATCATCTGTTATGCATATGAAATGAATAAATGAAGTACCGATGAGTTATACCTTTTTTCAAGGAACCCAAGTATAGTCAATTCCAAGTTATTAGTATCATAACTTAAATATAAAGTTTGTTGCATTTTCCGATTAAGATAACAACAAAAAAGTACATAACAACACTTATTATTATCCTCATTAAAACTTTGAAATCTGTTAGATGTTTGTTTAAAATCCAGACGTATATACTCAAGTTTATGATGGGATAAATTAAATTTAATGACGAGTCCTTTAAATGAATCATTGTTATCATCCTATAACAGTTAACCTCTAAGTAAAGAAAAGATAATAGATATACAAAATATTTGTGAAACGACTTGAAAATTCAATTCTACTACCATGGATTTGTATTTCATCAAGAAAATAATCAAAATAGAAATTATTAGTAATATTTGATGATTGAATTCATGAGTCGATCTAAGCTAGACCATCACTGAAAATATGAAAACACTAGACAACCGTTTCGTCCTAATATGAGATTCGTCAGCATTGTGCATACACGATCCTGCGCGGTGGACTCGAACCCTGGACTTTTGATCTCACTTACAAAGGCTTAACCCCTAGACTACTGATCCAGGATCCAACGGTAATAATGTCTAACTTCAATCGACTCATGATCTTGCTGAGGTCCTGGGTCCGAGTCCCGCATGAGGGGTCATATATATGACTGCCGAAATGTCTCATACTAGGACGAAACGGCCGTCCAATGTTCCCGAACTTTCAATGGTGCTCTAGTTTAGATTAGCGCATGAATTCAACTATTAAATTCACTATAATCTCCATAAATCCTCACTCTCATAATAATATTTAAGCTTGTAAATAATGATATATGAAACAACTGGACAATCATATTAAGATGTTGATTGATATATCAATATGAGTATTAGTCGTTTAGGGTGAATTATAATAAAGTTGTATCATATGATATAATGTTAATCTAACTATTTATTAAGAATTATATGATGAGGAAAAATATAGACAAGTAATAAAGGATTGAACTAATGTTAGTGAAAAAAAATGTAATTTTTTTCATGGGATCAATGCATTATTATTCACGCAACTTTAACAAATCAAGAGTAAATTAGTCTTAATAATACCTAGTTATTAATATTATTATTATTATTATTATTATTAGTAGTAGTAGTAGTAGTAGTAGTATGAGTAGTAGTATGAAATATTATATGTGACTCTGCATAAATCTAAGCAGTATGTGAGCAGTAATTTTAATGCTTCCAAAGCTATATTATTACTATGACCGTTATTATTACTCTTAGTTTCACAGAGATTAATGTGATAAAATGGATCAGAGGGCAGAAACTAGGGTGATTGTTCCACCTGATGGAAGTTTAGCTTATTTTCTGACGTCATCAATCTTTAGTCAGTAGTTTGGTTATCTTTGATACTTTGAAATAAAAATTAGTGAGTTTCAAATCAGCTATACAAACTTAAAACATTCTTTCCTACAAACAATAGCTGTATGTTTTGTCTGATGGCTGGATAGGGCAAGTTCATTGTTGAAGAAAATCAAATTAAGACGAAATAGATCTCAAGTATTTTATGCCTTCCACAGATTTCTTGTTAAATTCATCCTAAAATCTAAATGACATAAAACTATAATAAATATTCTTAAAATGTACGTTTGTTTAAGTTAAGTGAATTATTTCCTATTTACCACAATTCAAATTCAATAGATATTGCTTTACCGACGAAATAATAAACAAACAAATTTGTAATTATCAGAAAGGTGTTTTGTGGATAATATAGTGATTTTAATATTTAAATTAATGAGTTAATTGAAGCTAGACTATCATGAAAAATCTGGAAGCACTGGACGGCCGTTTCGTCATGAAGCGAGCCTCCTCACCACCCACGATCACGCCTCGGGAGGTTCGAATCCAGGACCTATCGGCCTCGCGCTCGATCACTTGACCTCTAGACCATTCAACGGTTTTAATTTCTAACGATGAGACTATAATTTATGGATGACATTTGGACGACTCTAAAATAACCATGAAACTGTTCATTTAATAACTAGGACTAAATGCAGTTTATAAAAGATTGTGAAAAATTAGAATTATGATTTACAGTTTATGGTTAGGGTTGGCAATTAAATTTAGGGTTTTCATCATGAACTGACATCAATTATAATGTCAAAAACTTCATTTAGCCAAATGGATGAGTGAATTTCACGCCAAAATTCGAGACCTGTTATATTATACCTGATTGGTTCGTCCATAAATTATAGTCTTGCCTAAGTTTATAACAAAATTTCATTTTTGAGTCAGTTAAAATGTAATTTATCTTTCTATTGATTCAACCTTACCGATCACAACACTCTAGAAACTGACCACTGTTAAGATTGAATGTTTTAAAGTATAAAAATGGGAATAAAATAGTAATGGTTTACTAGTATAGGGGTTGTGGAGATTATTAAGTTTTTGATTGAGATCATGAACCGATTGATGTTAGACCATCACAATTGAAAACCTGAAAGCACTGGACGGTCGTTTCGTCCTATTGTGGGACTCCTCAGCAGTGCGCATCCACGATCCCGCGAGCGGGATTCGAACCCAGGGCCTTCGATCGTCCAGTGCTTCCAGGTTTTCCATTGTGATGGTCTAACATCAATCGGTTCATGATCTCAATCAGAAAAGTAATGGTTTGATTGATTTCCTTTAGTAAATGTGAATGTTTTTTAATTTTTAATTTTTTAATTTTTGTTTATAATAGTTGAATTCATGAATTGATCTAAGCTAAGCCATCATTGAAAACCTGGAAGCATTAGATGAATGAGCACTTCTGATGAGTCTCACACTAGGACGAAGCAGTCTTCTAATGTTTACAGATTTTCAGTGGTGGTCTAGCTTAGCTCAATTCATGAAATCAATTATTAAGTTTATTACAATCTCCATAACTCCCTATTCAGATTATAATATTATAGTTTTAAAAGTAGATCATTGAAACTTTACCAACTACTGATTACTTCGTATTACTTTCTAGATCTTTATCTATATACATACTGTTTAGCTTCAGAAAGAATAAATATCCGATTCAATCGATGTTTAACAATCATTATAAGTCCAAGATAATTATATGGTGTACAAGTGTCCTTTGTTTATTATTTATTTAATAATCAATTCTCTCTTATTTATTCTCATGAATTTATACTTAATAGACTATAATTGATATTATAATGAATATGATCTATTATAGGTCATAATTGTTTGTTAGATACAATTTAATATAAAAACATTTAAAGTAGATTTGAATAGATTTAGGTTTATATTATTATCTTCATAAATCTACTTATTCCATTTTTAAAATGAGTTGAATGGACTTTAAATATTTATCTCATTTAAAGATAATGATTTATT